AAGATTACGAGCTGAGGATGATGGTACAACTGTCACGAACTGTCCGTTCGGGGAGACAAAATTAATCTTCCCATTTACATTCCATTCGAAATTTCCGGATTTTTTGGGTAAATGATACACAATGTTGGTCCTTTTTTATCATTTGTGTCTTGGTATTCCTACTTAAGACTCATGGGTTCAGCTTTAAATTTTTAGAATTATCAGCATCATCTCGATAGCTAACTGCTTTGTTATTTATTTAACTCTATTTATTTATTTCGTGGAAATTTTTCGTGGGAAGTTTTCCTGGAAGAAGGGGGTGGGGGTCTTTGTGCTCTTAGTAATCAGCTTACATGGCGCGTAAAGCATCCAAGCTTGTCTACTTCCGGAGGTGAGACTTCCATATAAAATGGACGGGGGTGCTCGTCGGAAATTTTCAAAAGAACTCCTAAGAGATACCTAGATCATGTTCGGTGGGGGTGGGTTGAAATATTTGTTACCCCTATTAAAGAGGTGCCAATTCTAACCCAACACATTATTTCCTATTATGATTTATTTTTCGGCTCAATACCCTAAAAGTTACCGCAAGATCTAGAGCTCCCGCAGTGGACCTTTTGAGGCTGAACACCCTAAAAGGTATCCTAACCGCTTTTTTAACCTCTAGAGGTATGACGAGCACCCCCGTCCTTTTTATGGTAGTGTTTTCACTGGGGTAATTTTGGTTAGATAAAGTTGGAAAAGTTCGGAAGCGTAGTGAAACTCAGTGCGTCTTGAGTTTAGCGAGTTAAAAAAGCAAGCAGCTTTCACTGGAAAAACACGGAAATTCACGCAAAGTAGGGAGAGACGCCTGCCAAATACTCTGACAATGTTACTTACCATGGTTTAAGTTCGGAAAGTGGCTGACGATTTCAATAATGCTTGCCATTTTTACTGATTTACCATCCCTCCGCCGAAGTTGGATTCACCGGTTCCTCGGCCAGGACCAAACTTATTTCATGGCGCTGGTGTACATAACCAGTTCAGCCAATACCACCAATCGCCACTGCATTTTATGCCACAGGTATCTTCCGTACCAAGCTCCGAAGCTTGCAGCAGTGAGAGCAGCATTAGCAGCTCAAACGAAGACAAATCGCGGCCAGGATCTTTTAACAGAAACCAGTGCGCAAATTGGTCTGGTGCCGAAACACGATTCATGTTAGAATTGTGGAAGGGAAGTTTCCTAATAAGCAAATGAAGAAACTGTGGTACGTAGGACGTCATCGCGAATAAGCTCAATAGTATTTTGAAAGAGCAAGGAATGTCATCTTTCCGCACAGGCACGCAGTGCAAAGCGCGTATAAAATACCTGCAAGAATTCTCGAAGTGGCAACAATCGGGAAACTTTCAACTACTTCGAGGAAATCGATGACGTTTTAGGCTGTAAGCCTAACATCCCGCTATAGCGTGTATGCGAGTGTGGCTTGGCAGAATATCTCAGTGTACTCAGTGTGCCGGAACCTGGTAACTCCGAGGACTCAACACAGTCAAGCGGAAATGCCGATAAAAACATCAATTTGACAAGACCTTGGAAGGAAATCCGAAACGTTCGAAAAGAACCAACAAAGACAAAATATCCGCAACGAAGAAAAGGTCCCATCAAACGATCTCGAGGAGTTTTTGGAAAAGAGCCAAACCAAAGATCACGAGTTTTTCGAGTGCCTCGCCGAGAAAGAGGTAGAGTGGGAATTGGACAGTCAAAACTCAGTTTGATACCGTAAAGGAAATCGAAAAAAATTTTAAATCGGGCAGTTAGGAAAGAGAACAGTCACACGATTTTAAACATCACGAAATTAGTTTTTTTTTTTACTGCTGTTATCGTTACTATTGACCCTTGTTTGAAATAAACTACATTTGTAGGGATTCACTGTCAAGTTCTCATTTTGCAATTTAATTCGTATGCATTTATTAGTAAATTCCAAAAAATGTTGTCATAATATTTGGACATATTTATAATACTAATTTAAAACACAGCACTATTTTGCTCAACATATTAACTATGTGAATACTGAAGAAGAATACTGAAATGAAAACGAGGTAGATGTTGCAGCAAAATAATTATTTGATATCCCTTCGTGTGAAATGAACTACATTTGTACAGATTCGCTGTTCAGTTCTCGCTTTGCAATGTGATTTTGTAAGCATTTATAAGTAAAACTTAAAAAATATTCTTCCAATTTTTGGACATATTTATAATTCAGTACTAATTTAAAGGACAGCACTATTTTGCTCAAAGCATTAAAAAAGTTGGACTGAATATAAAATAGACGTTGCGCAAAATAACTATACTATATTTATATTTAGCTTTAACTATACAAAATACCATTTGTGACGTTCCTTATTCTAACACCATCTGCATTAACATCATGACGTGGGAGGGGTACTCCGAAAAAAACCCATCTTCGTCTTTGGCGACATCAGTTTCAGTAGCATCGTTGACATCTAGGCATATGTTGGGTAAAATACAACAGATTATGATTGTATAGAACTTTTTCTCCACCGATTCATCAAGCTTATCCAGTAGACCCCCCTTTTAACAGCCCAAATACTTGCTGAATAAGTATCCTTGCACTGCTCAGTGATTTATTAAAAACTCTTTGGATATCAGTCAAAGCTCTGGTCTGAGGAAAAAGGTTCATACACCAGGTCGTCAGTTTATAAGCTGGATCGGCAACAATAAGTGCCTTTACTTCCGTGCCACCTATCCGACGTTTGGGAAATGCAAAGTATCGCCGTTTTCTGTTGCATTTGGAAATGAGTTCATTTGCAGCACGCGAGCGAGCGTCGTGAATACTTCCAGCGTTGTCAGTGCTCACATGCAAAAACGTACATTAGCATAAGCGACTCCCTGCAAAACAATGCTATGGACTCATTTGGGTCGTTTTTGGGGCCTTATTGGTATATGGGACCTATCGAGGGTGCCTACAACCTGAGGGAATCGGCTCATGTTCTAAAATTCCAGTATGGTTTGTCTAGTTCAGCTTCGGTCTTTAAAAATCTAGTGCTCAGCAAAGCAACACAAAATTCATCCTTGATATTTATGGCTGAGCAGCGGCCGATTCCAAATGTTAACCCCACGGCTCTGTACGAATTTCCAGGAGCTTGCCTCTAAAGAGCAACAACCACCCGCTTCTCCACGGTGACTACCTCGCGAAGAATTGGATTCTAACGAACCAGCTGAGGCCGATGAGACCACAAATGTGTTCAAATGTTTCCCTGCTTACCCTGAAGTGTTCACGCCACAGATGATCCTAACATCATCATCAACATGGGTGTTGTTTTCATTTTGGATCGACAGGATTGCCAAATTCCGTCGAATTCTCCTCCTCTGCAGTGACATCAAATGTATCCCCTGCAAGAATCGCCTTCTTCTTCGCATACTAGCGAGAATCAGCACAAGAGAGATCATGAAGAACGTCTCGTCTCCCGCCATTTTTGAAATGTGCCCACTTTTGTAATTTGAATCGTCTGAGTCAGCGGGTAAAATGCCTATTGAAAACAGATGTTGTGTTTAACAAGTAATTGTTGGGCGGAGTGCAAACAAACACCTAGAAAAAATGTTCAGCTAGTGAATCGGCCTAGAGGAAACGCAACCTATATGGGAGTCCCCCTCTCGAGGTTTAGTTTAGGGATTATCACGTGCCTTGACGTCTCATTTCAAAAGAACCGCCATTTTAGAATTGGAAATAAAATCTCCATAAATTTAAAATCTAACTGAAAGAGATTTTCAAGTTTAAAAAAAACACGCTAAATTGCGGTGAAACACCCATCGAGAACATGGTTGCCATAGAAACGTAAATTTAGGTGTCCAAGCAATTAACACATGTTAGAAAACGTGACAAAGTTTGACAATAATAGCCTGAGCGTTGTTTAAGTGAAAAAAAAAAGTTTAAAATCAGCTTGGATACTGTGCCTCTTAGGCTAAATAAAGTCAAATCAAAGTTCTGTGGTCGTAAAATGGACATTCATAGTGACTGAACATGATGTACAGTGTAGCAGCAAAGGGCTCAATCAAGACAAGCTAGGGGGATTTAAAGAACCAAATCTATAGGTTTGTTGGCTTACATTCGCAGAGGTGGGTTGCGGTTGGGGTTTGTTATCAAAGGGTCAGGATTTCCGTGTCTTAGATTCTGAAGGATTTTTTTCCGTAGTGAATTTGTTAGCGTTAAACATTATAGCCATCCTAATCTTCTTCCCGTTATAAGACTTTTCCCGTTAGGATAGGAGTTAAGTTACATTGCCAGTGTGCAAGTGTTAAAGTGTTATTTTATTTAGTTGGTATGGGAGGAAAGAAATATTGTGGCATGCGTTTGTTTATTTGGCAGAAAAAGAAAATTTACTCTATGATGTAAGGGAGAGAGAATGGCTACTGAATGAAGCAAGGAATGAGTTATTGCTTGAAGAAGAAAGAGCAATGACTGCTGCCAGCGAGAACGAAACATTGAAGGCCCAGCTGGAGGAAGGTAAGATTTGTAAGACATTTGAGTCCTGGGAGGAGGAGGGGCACCCCCCATGTAAAAAGGTGGAGATGAGATGGAGATGGTAGTCGGAAATTTGGTTTAGAGCAATCTGGGCACGGTTCGAGCTTCGGTTAACCGCTTAAAGTTACCAACAAGTATGGGCTACGATGATTTTAATGATGCTTAAGATATTGTTATTGAATAGTTTCTCCTATGGAAAAATTCTCAAAGCATTGTCATAAAACTTAACTTGTTCCTTCAAGTGCAACCTTAAAAGATACCTTGACGACTAAAATAGTGGCGTTTCGTCCTGAACACCGTAAGTGAGACCATGTTCCGTGATTGATACACCTCAGCCAGACTATGGGTAGGCTCGATTACCAGCTGCTGTTCGGGAAGGAGCCTGCGCTCCTCCCACGAACTCAAACTTGGGAAAAAACTTCCTCCTCCCGTAACTGAATTTACTTTTTAAGGAATAGAAGCGCACTTTCTAGGGGTTTACCGGCGCAATAACCCCAGGCGGGATGCGTGTTAAGCTCCTGGACGCCATCTCTTTACTAGTATCCTTCGTGTTCCATTGCGCATTTTCAAGTTCTTCTAGTTCTGAACACTTCTTTCCAACTTTTGAAATTTACTCCTCAGGTTAGACACTGCTGAACTAAGTTTCTCAAGCTTTTCATCCATAGTTTCTAGCCTAGAGAGAATAATTGCAACTGTCCATTCTAAAGAAATTATAGTCGAAATTTCGAAGACTGGAGCTCACATCTGCTGAAGTTCGGGTGAGATGTTTGAGCTTGAAAGTAACCACCTAGCTCTTTTCTCGACTGGCGAATTGTAGGAGGCACTCGAGTCACTGCCTTTTGTAGCCTCTCTTTTATTTATAGAATTAAAAGGCGAAAAATTGCTAAAAAAACAAACTATAGGAAGCGGTGAATGAGTCCGAATTCGGTTTTTAAGCTCGTGAAATCTCTAGGAAACTACCCCAGAAAAGGAGAACTACCTTTAAATGGTCATTTTTCTGTTAGGACACAATGCCATATTTACGTTAAGCTATATAGCATCCTTGTTGCTGATGACTAAAGAAAGACTGCCATAAGTTATTTAAAAATAACTTTCAAGCAGCTTTCGACACACGTCTCTGAAATGAAAGAAAAACTTCGTGTCCCGAGCAGGACTCGAACCCTCGTCTCCCTGCATACTATGCCTCGAAGGAAAAATGTCCCTTGGATTTGCCGCGTTCTATCTACTCACATCAGTAAGTTGCCACGTATGCAGCGTGGCTGCCCCGATGGTGTAGTTGATATCACGCCCGACGAGGCTTTCTATCATTGTTTCAATGGGTTTCCTGGCCCAAAACATTTCTATTCCATTAGCTTATGATTGCTTTGGAAGTTTGCGAATAAAGTCTTTGAAACTTAATAAATCTGTTGCTATCATTTCTATTACTCCTATTAGAGCGGTTTTCAATTGATAGTTTTGAAACCAAAAGTGAAAATAATCATTCTAGCCAATTACAAAGGACACAGACAATACAGTGAACCTGTGAAAACTCGAAGGAATTACATGTAGCTGACGTAAAGCGCGGGAAAACGTGAAGGAATTACGGTTGTGGTGAAGTTGCGTGAGTTTTTTTAGGCCAATCGTGTAGCGAAGTAATGCAAACCCAATCAATCAATCAATCAATCAATCAATCAATCAATCAATCAGTCAGTCAGTCAGTCAGTCAATCAGTCAGTCAGTCAGTCAGTCAATCAGTCAATCAGTCGATCAGTCAATCAGTCAATCAGTCAATCAGTCAATCAATCAATCAGTCAGTCAGTCAGTCAGTCAGTCAATCGGTCGGTCGGTCGGTCGGTCGATCGATCGATCGATCAATCAATCAATCAATTTATTCGACACTCAAATGAAAACCTCTCTATACATGACTACACTGCATTTACACCTGCTTTACGTTTACAGCTAAAAACTCTGTGCCGCGTAAGGAAGGTGTCACCTTAGTGGAAATTGCTGGAATAATGGATGATCTTGAAAGCGGTTGGGAAAAACTTGCAAAAGCACTTGGGCTTGGAGAAGCAAACCTTTGCAAGATAAATGAAGGAAACAAAACAGACCGCGAGAAAGCCTATTCTGTCCTCACAATGTGGGCGGACGAGGAAGGAGAGGACGCAACATTTAAACGTCTGGTAGACACCCTTGAGAAAATAGCAAAAAGTAGCCCTGTGGAAAAGCTGCTTGGTATGTAAATGTGAAAGGTTTAGGTAAAAAATTTAAGTCACTCACAAAGGTCTCTTTAAGTTGGAAAAAATGTCAAATTATTACGTATGGCTTATAATTAGGAGAAAGAAAATCAAAGGGGAAAGAAAAAATCTTCAGGATAAGGCAAGGGTAATTACCAGTGGGCAAGATTGAGACAATTACCAGTACGATTTGTCGATGAATTTGAAAAATTTAGGCAAAATCCTAAGGATACTGTATATATCTTTCACCCCTGTTAGAGAAAGCTCCACCTTCCTTCCTAACAGAAGGATATTCACACGTTACTTACACGCCTGTGGCTATTGCATATTGGGCCACTGAGCCGAACTTCAAATTTGAAATTGGCATTTCTACATAAACATGAGCAAATGTTTCTTCTCGGGTTAAAATGAAATAAAGAAGTGCTTCGTTTAATTTAGTTCATTATTTTTTGCAACAAGAATTTCCTGTATTTATAGTATGCACGGCTATCTTGTAAAATATCCACGTAGTTTAAACATGCTTTATTTCGCAGAGTCAGAAGAAATAGCCGATGATCAGGGGAAAGTAAACAGGCTGTCGAAGAAAACTAAGGATGAAATTTCAGTCGAGAATCGTGAAAAAGAAGCCAGTGGGGAGAGCAGTGTGAAAGCGGTGTTTAAGGAATCAGGCATTCAGTCGCCAGAAGGTAAAATAGGCCGTTGCATGACCGTGTCACGCGACCTTGTCAACATAGAAAATGGTCGTGGTACGAAGTAAATACCAAAAATGGAGTGTGATGAGATTAATATGATTTCCCATTTTTATGTAGGAAAACCGTGGCTGGACTGATGACAAAGTTCATCATCCATGCAGCATACCTCTATCAAATTGTCCTAAAAATCTCGCACTGAAATGCCAGTGGCGTATAAATTGGAAAACTTACTAATTTCATCACAGTCTTCCCATTTCTGGTATCGAATTCGTACCGCGACCATTTTATGACAAGGTCACGTGACACCTTCATAGAAAGGGCCAGTCAGTTACAAACGAGGGTGGATCAAGGGGTTCGGGGGTTCGGTCGAACTCCCTAAATTGATAATAGTGAGACATCGTAACACGCTGACATGGCTTCAGATTACCGGAAATCCCATCTCCGAGGACCTAAATTTACAAATTTTCTGAGGGAACATGCCCCCGGATCCCCCTACACGGAAACGCCTTCGGCGGCCTCTCCTCTCTAAAATCCTGCATCCGCCGCATAAAAATGACTAAAAAATTAGCTTAAAGGCTGGTTTAAGTTACTACAGGCAGCAAAACAGTATAGACTGTTGTGTTGCTCTCGAAGTATTACTCATTTGAGCGAAGAATTTCGTATAGTGATATAAAAGCATGGGTGTATTGTGAAAAATCGGTCTGGCCACATTTTTATTTGCAGAGAAAGATGATGGTGATAAAAGGGAATTAGACAAGCCACTGAGGGAAGTTGATGAGGGAATGTCGCTTGAAAATCCTAAAAAAGAAGGCAGTAAGGATACCGGGATGGAAGCTGCGTTCAAGGAACTAAACATTCAGCCCGAGGAAGGTAGGAATGATTAAAAATGTCTGCATGACAAAAGCTCATGTAAAGACAGATTTAACCCAGGTGTTGCTTACAAACTTTTAAATCTTGCGTTAAGTTACAGTAGATGCAAGTATATCTAACAATTATTTCGCTCGCGATTGTTGGATGTGACATGATCATAGCCAACTCAAATATCCAACGCGCGCTCGTAGAATAACTGTTCAATAACCGGCAGTGTTACTAGAGCAGAATGGTTATGAAGCCCGGCAAACATCAAAGGAGCACACAAAGGTGCCAAGATTTATGTTCGGGGACTGGGTTGAGTAATGGCGGAGTAAAGACGTGCGTTGCAGCCGCTCACCCATCTTTTTGCTCTGTTTTGGCAAATGGCCGATTGTTTCGGACAACTTTTTGAGCAAAAGAAAAACCAGATCTTCAGCCTCTTCCGACGAATCCGCTCTTTCGCCGGAAATCAAAAGAACGAAGCCATACTCCTCGTCAACGCATCAAGAAGAGGAAATAATGACAGCTCTCAGTATGACACAACATGTTGGTGCAACTCTACGAGCAATCCTAGCAAAAATGGAAAAGCGTGATTCATTAGAATCAGCCGTGAAGAAAATTGAGGCCAATCTCGAGAACTTAGAGAAACGAACCCGAAGGCTAGAAGATTTTCAAACTACAGCGAAGAAAGATGACGATCTAAAGCGGGAACATTTTTACTGGACAACAATTCAAGGATAAGACAGAAGCTGTGGAGAAGGCTCATCGACTCTATGTAACTCAATCATTATCATTTATCAAGTTTTAAATGAAAGGAAGTTATAATTGGTGGGGAATTTAACTCGGTTCTTAACGGTGAAAAAAACAGGAGGGGTGGCCTTGCCAGAGCACATAGAAAAACTCAATGCTGTGCCTCTACCCCCCGCCAAAACAATGACAAATTTAACACATAATTCTTTATTCAATACGTTGACAAGTATTTACAGCAATGCAGTTTACTATATCTTATTTAAAAGGACACAAGATTTATCTTCCAGAAATAAAATAGGTTGAGTTAATGGAAAGTAATATATTTTTTTCAAAAAGAATAATTAGACGAATTTATCAATAAAAGGTAAAAAAATAGAGAAAAACTCAAAAATGTTGTATAACCACTCTGCTGTTTGAATTTCATGAGAATTTTCACTGCTTTCCGATATATATAAACAAACGCATCCTGAAAACCGAATAGAAATCGAGAAAATCTAGAATTAACTACGATTTTCTTTCCGAGAGGTAAAGAGAAAGTGCGTGTTTCAGTAACCATGGCAACCGCCCGCATTTGCAAGTTCGAGTCTGCATCGAAATGCAACAAAACGAAGCTTTTATCCATAGGTATTTGGCTGAACGCTTCGTAAATTTACTTAATACACATAAATCAATAATATAATGAGGTATTGTAAACGTAAACTGGCCATTTAAAGAGTATTTAGTCGCATTCGAACAACATGTCTTTGTATCGCGAACCCACGCGAAGAGACACGAACGTTCGTTTACCTATAATTCTCGCTTCGAATTTCGAGATTATTCAGGAAATTACTCTCATAATTACTTAAGATACCTTCTGAATTGTTTTCCTCCCTAAAAACCATCTTCAGGATCTTTGAAATTGTTTAAATTTTGTCCCACGGGCTCCGCCATTTCAAAAGTGAAATAACTTGATGTAGCAAAATTCGTCATGCAGGCCACATTTAAGTGTCAAAATCGGCCAGTAAACGAGTAATTTTATTAACTTTTAGCACTCCAAATATGGAGAAATTTGGATGTAACGCAATTTTCCTATAAATTTTTAACCTACGGCTCACTGGTGATACCATAGCAAGAGAGCCGGACATAAATGAGTTTCAAAGG